GTACCGTAAGTCTAATACAGTACTGTAATTTTATACATTTCTTGTGAAAGAAACATTTCTTATTCAACGGCGATTAAAATTATTTATATTAATGATGTCTCCGAAGTTCAAGGAACTATTCGCAGAAAAATAAGTTATTAGAAATCGGCCGCGGTTTGCTGAGCTGTTCCGCGACGAAAACAATGTTGAACAATGGCGATGCCAAATGGTGCACACTCGGTAAGTAATCCTACAATTTTTTATTTATAGCGTAGTTTATACAGATTATTTCCAAAAAAATATACGTATTTTGGAAATGTTGAGTTGGATTAGTCTAGAATCGATTAATTTTATGGAAGAAAACCTTTCAATCAGCCGTAGTCCGTAAACTTTACACGTGTTGGGCTGTGATTAGAACAACTCGTAAGAAATCGGATTCCTAAAGAATGGAACGTATCTATGATCTTATAGGGGGGGTCGACTGTAAATAATAACCCATATGAAGAAATTAAAAAGGAATTAACTAATTTGATCAAAAACATATACCTAAATAATAATATAAGTGAAAACAATAAAAATTTCATTCTTAATTTCAAAAAACAATAGAATTCCCAAACTAAATATAAGATTAAAAATCTACAAAGAGGAAGAAAAATTCATACCTTTAGTAGATTTTAGATTTTCCATAGTTTACAACTTAGAACAATATATCAAACAACAATTAATAGACATTGGTTATTCTAGTTACAGCGTAAAAAACACTGATTATGTCATAAATAGAATATAAAAAATACAGAAAGAAAACACTGATAAACTAACAAGTCTTGATGTCAAAAATATGTACCTAAATATAAAATGGAAATTAATAAAGGAAAGCCTAATTATGTTAAATGTAGATAAAACTTTAATTAATCTGATACATTTTGAATATGCAAAAAACTGTTTTAAGTCAATGCAGACTTCTATAGACAGGTAGACAGCATCAGTATCAGGGATCAAAGATCGGGCCAAAATTAGCTGAATTAGCTATGAAAAATATAGATAAAAAAAATAATAAAACTAGTAATGAGATATGCAGATTACTTACTAATATACAATAATGAAATAACAAACAATAATATTATTCTTAACACCACTAACAAAATTAATGAAAATATTCAATTCGATATAGAAAAAAATAATAATAATAATAAAATAAATTATCTTGACATAACCATCATGAATGCACTTAATAATTTTTCTTTCATAACATACAAAAAAACCATGTAATGTTAATAAAACTATCAATTACTATTCATATGTTCCAGAATATATAAAAAAAGAATATTTATATCATGGAGTTAAAAAACATATATACAAGAAAATCAGATAATAAATGGCAAAAAATTAAAATAAAGAACTTAGAAACTAAATTTTTACTTAAAGACTATCCTAAATCAAAATTAAACACATGGCAAAAACAATACTGGGAAAACAGATTTAATACGAAATACAAATTAAACAAAAAATACAAAACCTTCCCATATATAAAAAACATTTTCAAGGGCTGTAATAAGATCCTAAAAAAGGCAATATCAGTTTGGCACCATCTTTGACCAACAAAATATCACACAGTATCCATTATAACAATAAACTAAACATTCTTAAAACTGTAGGAACAGTTTACAAACTTGAATGCAACTGTCATAATCCAATAACTTACATCGGCGAAATGGGCTGGTTATAAGAAACAAGAATTAAAGAATATGACCTATTAGGTCATATTCTTTAATTCTTGTTTCTTAAAGAATATTAGGTGCTATCCACTTAAAACATAACACTTCCCCTGGTACAACCACACAAGTGGCAATAATTGTCAGATTAATAAAAACAATATAAAAGTTTTTCATTTAGAAAAAGACCCATACAAAAGGAAATTTAAAGAACACACAGAAATCAAAAAATACCCAAAAATAACTTAATTATTATTTCAGAAGGCATGTCAATAGATCTCCAATGGTATAAATTAATAGAGNTTCCTACAGTTTTAAGAATGTTTAGTTTATTGTTATGTTGTTTATTAATGATTAATTTATAATGTTGTTTATTATGTTGTTTCTTAATTACCAATGTCATGAACCTTACTTTGATTTGTATTTTTTACAGCACTGAAGAGGGGTTGGGAACATAAACCAACCCGAAATGCATTTGAATAAAAAATTGTTTTAAATAAACCATAATGTTTTCCTAACCAATTGCTGTTTGGTCGTCTACCAAGAATCATTTTTTGAATTACAAGGATGCTACACACAGAATTTGAACATACAGCAACCATACCTTCTACAAAATAGGTTTCATTCCATAAAAAACTTGTCAAATTGTTCAATTATTAATAAAATTAGATTAATCTAATGGTCAAAATAGTAAAGATAATAAACTCTTATTGTCAGTCATCTGACCATCTCTCTCAATACATTAATAACTGTTGTTTAATTTAATGCTGCAGTTCATCAATTTTTCCTAAAGAGTTTAATAACCTGGTTAAGTTACAGCTTATAATCCATAACAATCCATCAACTCTCATGTCTATCATATGGTCAGGTACATAATAGGTTAGCTGGGTGTTAAGAGATAAGTTGATAAAGTTAATCTTTACTAGCTTGGCCATTTTTGCCACATTGTTTGATGGATTCAAGTTGAAATCTGATTAAATTTTCATTAATGGCTTGATTAGATAAGCTATAACTTATCTCTCTTCACCCAATCACATCACTGTGAACTCAGCCAAACCCATGACATGCATGGGTTACAAGTTAGAACATAATCAGTTTTGACAGTTGAATCTTTAGTTAAGTTATAACTCAAGATTAGTACCAAATATCAACTTATATGAGCAAAAATAAACATGCTGAGTAAACATGATACAAATTCCTTCAATGAGAGTATTCATTGAATGTGTTTGTGCTACATAATACTCTCATCATATTCATACTGTAATTCACAAAACTCAAGACTAGACACTTAGCAAAGTGAAAAGAAAGGTAATGATATTTATTAACAATGAAAGTTTAGATTAAAACAGATCTTTTTATAACAGCAGAAAAGGCCTCTACTTCATAATCAAATAGATTCATAGATATCTTTATACACTAATAAATATCATTAACTAGATATTCTAAACAAATATACTACAGACAGACAAAAAAATAACTATAATAATAATTATTTTTTTCACTCTGCCCTGTGGGAACTAAGAAGGCCTTTTTACAAAGCTCATTATGGGTTTAGCCAGGCCTGTAATGCAGGTCCCTAGAGCAATAGCCTGCATTAGACCTTAACTACTTGGCCAACTGACTGTCAAATAATTATTATTATATTAAAGTCAGTAATCAACAATTAATTATAATTATAATTTTAAACTATTTTTGCTGTTATAAACAATCCTGATGATTTATGGAAGTAAAGATTTAACAAAAACAAACAAAAATACATATGTTTATTTATTACACACAAATGTATCTTACCTGCGAACCATAGGTATAGGTTTCCAATCGGTGAAAGTACCACTGATAAAGACATCCTTGCCTCCTCCTTCCCACTTAAACACGGTGGGTAGTGCAGTCTCATCAATGGAGGCACCCGGTGTTACAGTAGACGCACGAGGCCGCATATCACCTTCCACTTTATCCTAAAAATAAAAACACACTATATATTTTCATGTTGCTTTAAAAAAATAAATTTTTCAAAATACTTAACATTAAAGTACTGAAATGTATTAATTCTTCTAACAATTGAAATTTTTAATTGTAACATTAAATTTAATTGATTGCTGGCTTGATTTGCATTGCATGGTTGGAACATTTGCATTGTTCAACTAAATGTAAGAATGCATCAAACAGACTCTTTTGTCTTCATACAGTTTAGTAATATTAGCAGAGTGTCTTATTGATGCTCATATCTACAATATTTAAGCCTTTCTCATTTGGAAACTTGTTATCTTGGTTCCTGATACTTTCACTTTTATCAACAGCTCATCAGCTACCATAACTTAAAACAAAGTGATCATTCTTATATTTTTTTATTTATATTTTTATATGTTGTACAATCACAAAGAATAACAACAAAAGATCTATCAAAAGTATTTGGAAAATGAAGAATAAAAAACACATGGACAGCTACTGAAAAAAGTTAAGCATTTTAAAGTTACACAAATTTCCATCATGGATTTAGTCATGTGATGAGAGCCATGGTCCAACATACACTGGACAGACTCCTTCACGTCATCCTCAGGGTTCATTACTTTCTAAAAAAAAAAATTCTTAAACATTCTGTTTCTTGGAACATTTGATCATCAACCTTTATAACAGAATAAACAAAATAAAACACCTTTGAAACATTTGAATACTTTTTTAAAATGAAAAAAATAAAAATAAACTAAACACTACAAGCAGATGATTTCATTCCAAATAATACATAGCCTTTAAACATTTAATTACAAAATATTAAATTTTATAGCTTCAAATTATTCTAATTTACTTAATTACAATCTAATAGTTCAGTGATAATACCTTATTTTTATATAAATAAATTTTCAGATATCTTTGATTAAAATTTAAATTTGTATGATTAAACTTTCATAATACTACTGTTTTCAAGTCTTTTTGGGCATCTTTGAGGCATAAATTATTCAAAAAATTATTAAATTTCAGTAATTCATATTTTTATTTTTTAATAATTTATACATTTTAAGATGAGCCAGCAAGACTTGAAACTTTGAACTGCAAAAATATTCAAAGATTTCACAATTAAGCATTTTCTTAGATAAATATATATTTTCAGCAACTTTTATTAGCCAAAATCTTGTTTTTTTTTTTATTATAGGAAACTACAATTCGAGACCTTTCCTTAGAAATAAAGTAAATAAAATCCCTTTAAAAAGCTTTTATTTACTCAATATTATTTCTAATTTTCCACTAACAAAATATTCATTATATTTAACATTATTTATTTATTGCAGGCACTATTGCTAAGACAATAGCTGCCATCCCCAATATAACAAACAATAAATAAATCCGATTAACTTATTTTTTCTTATAACATTAATTGCATGCTGGCTAGTGTATATTTCTGATTCTTTTTCACATTTAAAACTAATTTTTGTCCCCCAAGAAATGTATTTTCATTCCTCAGGGAGCATTATTGCCTCCCCCTCATTGAGAAACACTGTTCTACAATTGTACAATATAATATATAATTGGAAGATGGCTACTAAAAGTAGCTAATCATATTTGTTGGACATTCAAAGGTTTATTTGCATTTAATTATAATAATTTTTTGATTTTTCTATTAATAAGATGTCGTTTTTGAAGTTTTTTTAATATATTTCAGCTTCTACTATTTAAATAAACCAGCTAACACCAAAATACAACAAATAATAGGTAATTTAACAAAATAGTCTTTAAATTGTCTGTTATTTGCTGGATTCCGGTGTTAGCTCATTCATTTATATATGTATACCTAGTTTATTAAGCAGTTCTTCTACCATTAACTTATTTAGTTATGCTCTGGCTAATAAACTTTAAGTTGATCACAACAAAAGAAAAATATATGACATTTGAGAAACTTACCATAGAAATTTTACTTTAATACTCAGAGATATGGTTTATGATCATATATAAATTTTTTTCTATTCTATAAATATTCTTTTGTCTATATTTATAAAGATAAATCTAGTTCAGAGTCTAGAAGTAAAGTTCAAATTATCTAATATATTTTGAATACTTCAAACGTACAACATATAGAAACAGGATAATTTTAATAGTTTCTTTTAAACTTATATCCTTCATAAGCTTCAAATGAGATAATTTAAATTTAAATAGTATGAATAAACTGTAATAAAACATAATTTAAAACTACTTTGAAAGTAATTTTAATTAAATATTTTGTTCACAGTTAATTATAATTCTAAGTAAATAAAAATTCTTTCTTGCATTTATTTTAATAACAATTTCATAAATAATAAATATTTAATTATAAAATAAACTTGCTATAACTTCACTTCTACTCTTTGTTACATGGAAACCCATTACCCATTCAAATTTGTTATTCATGGTAACAATCATTAACAATGGTAAACTGTGATTGATTGATTAATTGATTTATTAAAAGTGAAGCTAAGTAGATAAATTAATGAACCAGCACATTAAAGCTCTTTGACTAGTTGCAATTTCCCCTTCATTGTAAATCAGGTCCACCTTTACAAGATGTACAATAATACCCTCATCTTCAAGTATATTATCCAAGATAAATTATGGATCAGAAATAAGATCAGATTGTATTCAGCATTACAGATTACTTGCTAAGTCTAGTTATGCTATAATCCTGAGCTCATTTCTAACAAATTCTTGACTTCTGCCACTGCAAGAATTTCTAAAAGTTCAGTCAGAATAATTTCCTTCAACTTAGCAACATGATTACTGTCAGCTTATGTATTTGTAAGATGGTTGCACATGCTGGTCTAAGTATATTTATGTACAGTATGTATAAATACTTCATCAAATATAATCCTGAATTCCCATAATAATAGGTAAACACTTAAGTAGCAATCTGGCTAACTAGCTACTTTATTTTTGAAATGATCCTTTTAAAAAGGAAATAATAAATCAAAGGAATGAAGAATTCCATTTAATATGTTGAGTGTCCCACAGATTTATATGGTTTGCATGTTATTTTGGTTATATTCACTTACTTCACATTGTAATATTTGTAACATATGTTACAAATAAAAATTATTAACTTCTGTTATTGTTATTTTCAAATTTTTTGGCTTAAAAATAGAAGATACTAACTTGCATGCTTTTCTACTTCTATAAAAATAAAAATGCTACAACTGCAAGAAAAAAAGATCTGTGTTGTTTATAGAGAAGCTGGTGTCAATTGTTCATGTGTGTCAAAAATGGTTTAAGAGGTTCTGTGCAGAGAATTTTTCTTTAGAAGATGCACCATGATCTGAAAGACCTCAGTTATTGATGACAATGCAATTACATTAAGTGAATCCACATTACAGCACCAGGAAAATTGCAAAAGTATTATTTACTGCTCAAAGTATTAGTTGTTGGCCATTTACACAACTTAGGATACATATCATGCTGTGATGTTTGATCTCTACATAGAGTGAGAGAAATCTGATAGAATATCTGTGATTTGCTGCTGAAACATAATCAGATGGATTCTTTTTTGAAACTAGTAATGAAAAATGGATTGTTTACATTACTGTGCTGATTGTGGGGAAAGTCAACTGATCCCTCAGCAATGCAGTCAAAGCCAGTTCACTTCAAAAAATGGCTATGCTAAGCATTTGATAGGACTAGCAAGAGATTATTTTTTATGAACTGACATCTCAAAATTTGACCATTTATTCAGAGAAGTACAATTTGATAATCTGAACGCAGTCATTGAATAAAAATGGCCAATATTAGGAAGAAAAGGTGTGGCTTTCCAGTTTGACAATGCTAGATACACACATCTTTGACAGCTTGTGAAAAATTATTGGAATTTGGATGAAATATTTTATGCTACACCCATTTTCTCCCAATCCTACACCTTCAGATTATCATTTCTCTCTTTGATCTCTTCAGAATAGTTTGCTGGGGAGGAAATTCAGTAACGTAGCCAATGTGAAAAACTACTTAAGAGGCATTTTCTAATGAAAATTTCCCAAAATTCTTTGCATGTGGGATAATGGATCAACCCAACAGAAGAGCAAAAATAACAGAAACAAAGATGCATACATAATTTAATAAAGTTACTTTTACAAACTTTTTGATCAACCCAATATATTTTATTTACTGATTATGTTCAATTTTCCTACCTATATGAATTTTTAAGATTTGTAATTCTGGTATTCTACACACTTGTGAGGTTTTCAAATGCTTCTCAAACATTTTACTTTTGAGCATGTAGATGGGACAGTTTTATGTAAAAACCCAAAATTTCATCAATTAAATTAATTAACTGTTAAAATTAACAAAAATATCACCAAAAATCTAAAAATAATATGGAGACTAATTTTTTGGAAACTCTGCACTTTTGGAAATATTTTTGTTATTTTTGATACTTACATTCAGTTTTCAGTGCTATGTAAGTGATTCTTTTAATTAACTCTCACTACATGCAAGAAAAGAGAATAAATAAATAAATTTCTTCTCTTTTTAAATATATTTATTTTTAAATAAATAAATATTTATTCTCAAAAAAAGGCAATAGCATCTTAAAGTATTAACCATGACTCAAAACTAGTCGAATATGCAACAAATAACACAAAAACTTCAAGAAACCAGTAAAAAAAACAAAAATATTTAATGCTAAAAATGTTTTCTTTCATCTACAATGATCATCATCATATATTCTTGAATATCTGACAGAATATACTGAACTGATATTTATTGTAAACAAAACAAAATGTTTGTAGTATTAAAACTTTTACTGGTTTCTTGGTGATTTTGTGTTATTTCAGACAATACCATTTTGGCGAAATAAGTCTCCCAAAATTAACAAGATCACCCAATAAAACAATGAAGAAAAATGTCATTTGCAGAATACTATTTTCATTTTAATTAAGCTGTTTATAAGTTTATTTGTAAATTGAAAAAAACTTAACATTTTTTTTTATTTCTAACAAATGCTGTTGTGAATCTGTAGGAACTGTGTAACTCTCTGCAACATGTGTAACAGTATTATGTATCATATTTACATACATGATATGCAAGTATATATGCTGTGACTAAATTAAATATTATAGAGCGGAAAGAAAACTGCATAAAAATTATAAAAACATTTATTATGTACTATTTTTGAACAGGAAAACTGTATCCATATAAGAGATAATAAATATCTGAAATTTATCATCAACTTTTGATACTGCATTTTCTACTTTTGCTCTATATTACATAAATCTACATACATGACATATAAATGTTAAGTGCTATAATCACATTACAAAATAATAATTTAAAAAAACAAGTCAATGCTCTGTAATGATATAATTAAATAATTTAAACAGTTAATTGCAGTAATATTAAAAATGTGATTGTAATAACAACACTAAAATAAAAATTGTTTAAGAAGTGTACAAGTATACAAGGAAAAAACTTTTATTTTAAACTAAGTAATTAAGATGAATACTTTTACATCTTTAATTACAAAATGACTCTTTCTCAAATATAACTATGAAATCATTTAAAGGCATCAAATCTTTTAATGCAATTCAATGCTTTTCAGGATCATTCTATCCCATCATCAGATCCAAATGTTTAACTGTTTTACAACTGAATAGAATAGCTGCCTGAGCATGGGATGTTTCACAATAAAATTGAAAGCAACTGTTCTATTCAATTGTAAAACAGTTAAACATTTGGAACTGACGATGAGATGAAATGATCCTGTAAAGAGTTTTATCACATTAAAAAATTGACTCCTTTCAATTATTTAGTAGTTATTTTTGTTTCAAATAGAAAAGAATCTAAATATTGCCATATTTTGTCTTCATTTTATCTCCAAAGCTTTCAAACTTACTATATAACTAAGAACATTTACAGGATTTTGTCTCAAGAGCAAAACATGTTAAATAACCATGCTATTATTTCACTAAAATCATAATTTCCTAAACAAGTTTGTTTCTATTTTTAATATCTTTAAAAGTAAATAATAACTACATGCAAAAAAAAAACGAGAAGTTATCCTATAAAGCAAGCAGTTTTCCAAACAGTATATACCTGCATAAAACTTAACGAATTGAAGAGAAGATTTCATTGCACATAAAATGTAGTCTAGTGTACCAACTATCAAAATAAATTTATTCTTACATAAATAACATTACTTTTAAAAATTGTTATTTGAAAAAAAATAAAGAAGAAAAAATGAAGGAATAAAGTAAATCCCATAAGAGGCAATTGCCCATTCTTTGATTTGCTTTATTCCAGACCTTTTCTGTGGTTTTATTTGCATATAATAGAGACAGCATGAACATCCTTTGAAATTTTTATTATATACATAGAATATACTAAATCCATTACTATTTTATATGTATATACTTTGCACTACTATCATACTTAACTGACAAAAACAACTCAAACAGAAACTAAAAATAAAATTATTACCTTGATGAAAATTAAAAATATATAACAATATATTTCTTCTTAATCTTTATGTTCCTTCTTTCTACTCTCAATAAATAAATTTTCAAGAATTATAATGCATATATAATCATTTTTAACAGCCAAAATTACAACAATGTACTAATAACCAAGAACATTTAATCACACAATCTTTCAAAGCATCATAAAATGTTCACAATATCATGATTATATAAATTGAATATATATTTCTTTGTGTTGCAACAATCAATTTAATTCTAAGAACCTTGAATGTATTATAAAATAATCTAAAAATATATTATGGAATTATTCTGTCACATAGCACTTGTCATTTGTAACATAATAATTGATTTATAATTAATAATTCATGGATATTCTTTCATTTGATGGCTATAACTTTGAATGGTGTTTGCAATAAATTGTCAGGTTGTCAAATGTATTGTTGTCATGTGTTAAATTTTCCTTGTTTTTATGTACCCACACAATACTTGTATAATTTACTTTAAATGAAACTCTGAAGGAAAACAAAAAAATGAATATATCTAAGATAGCATTTCAAAATCATATATTTGAATAAGTGCTTTAAATCAAATATTTATTCATATCAGATAAAAGATAAGGAATTTTCTTGATTACTTTATCTTATTGAAAATAAATAAGGTGGTGTAAAAGTAGACACACGTTATTAATATATATACATTTTTATTTTTATGTATTATTTTTAATTTTTTTTATTACCTAAGAGATCAACATTACTTTATTTGTGAATTATGTAATGTTCTCCTGTCTGTACCTATGAGTAATAATTGATTTATAACAAAAGATAAATGAAGAGAGTACTTATTTTTGCACCACTATCATACTCCATACAAGTATGTTACTTTAATCTAAATGTGAGATGATGAAAGAGTACACATTGTTGGGTGTGATACACATTTTATTTACATTTTTTCCATTTTTATATATTAATTTTTGTTTTATAGCATCTAAAGCTAGATTCATATTGGCATATGAGCTGCTATGGAGTAGATGCAAACTTCCAGTTCATTCCCTTTCCACAACCATTCACCAGTTCATTAGGAGTTGAAAATATCTCAACTTTCAATGAACTTCTGTTCATTCGACCAATCGATTATTCATAATGTATGTCTAAAATCTGACCAGTCACGTTCTAACTCAGTTTGTGTCACGTAGTATAAAACAGACAATTTGCTTTGATTATTATTCATTTCATTCACTCATATGACTGTGGACTTACTTTAATGTTTACATTGTTAGGTTGATCACAACATAGTTTATTACTTTTTATAATATAGAGTAACACAATATAACAAACTAAAAATAAATTGAACAGATACAAAATAAATATAAGTTGTATATGTACAACTAGCAGTTACCCGCGACTTCGCCCGCGGAGGTTTTGCAAGCAAACCCTATTTATGTTCAGTATTTCAACAACCATAGTAATTGTTATATAACACCTACCGCTGAGAATAATGAAAATTGCCCAAAATCAAACAAACTATTTTCAATTTGATCAATTTTCTGGAACGTTTACAATCGTTCTATAATCGAACCAATACGCAATAACAAATTCGAATTTAAAACGGTTCGAACATTTGGTTAAAAATCGAAATATATAAAAACATTTATAACAATGTCTGAAATGTTATCAATTTAATACGCCTAAGTACTCAATGAAGACTAAACTTAACAAAAAATCGTATGTAAAATAGTACAGTAGAAGCCGTTCTTCCGGTTAAGCCTTAATGCTCTCCCTCGCACCCCGCTGGGGAATTTCGAAAAATCCCTTCTAACTGTGCATTGCCATGGCATACCCTACTAAAACACAGTTAAAAACAAAAAATCGCATCTAAAATAGTACATTATAAGCAGTTCTTCCGGTTAAGACTTAATACTCTCAGTCTCCCTCCCGAAGGGAAATTTCAAAAAATTCCTTCTTAGTATGCATTCCCATGTTATACCCTACTAAAACGCAGATAAAAACAAAAAATCACATCTAAAACAGTACAGTAGAAGCCGTTTTTCTGGTTAAGCCTTAATGCTCTCCCTCTCCCCCTCACGAGGGAATTTTGAAAAATCCCTCCTTAGTGTGCGTTTTCATGACGTACCCGAACTGTGTACCAAATTTCACCTCTTTAGGTTTGGCGGTTTGCTCTGGGCAATGATGAATCAGTCAGTGAGTCAGTCAGGACAAGCAATTTTATATATATAGATAAACTGTTTCATTAATGTAGTAATTTTTTTTGTATGATTTGCCAAATGGGTGTTAACCTCCAAACCTCCAACACAGTCCACGTGCACAGACTGTTCCATACTATCAATAATAATTGCTTTTTAACAATAAATAAATAAAGAATCAGTCGAAATCAGTTATAATAAGCATTAGAGGACCAGCAAAATTTCCTCATTATAACTGTTACTTGTTATACCCATGAAGAGCAGTGACTTAACTAGGGGAGGAATGGGCGGCTGCTTCAGATGCAAACAGGTAGAGGACCCCATTAGCAGCAAAATTTGTAGCTACACCACTGATAATTAGTGAGATCTATCTTCTAATTTTTAATTTTAAGTAAGTTGATTTTAAAAAATATGTAATTACATTATACTGTATTTTTATCAATAGTTATATAAACCACAATATAATTAATATTAAACAATTTACTTCTTTGTAATTAAAGATAATACTAATTAATGATATGCCTGATTTCAGTTAGTTTTTTTATCTACAAATCTTAAAATTGATGATTGCTTTATTTTTTGATATTGTCAATACTGTTGAAGATGACAAAGAAAGCTTTCTACATACACACTTCAACATTTTTAGCATCACATTCTAACTTGCAAATAATTTCTATTTTTTTTTTGTAAATCAAGAGACATTTTCTTTTCTTCATAGACATCTTTCTCATATAAGGGCTAATTTCTAATTAAAGTATATGGTAATTTTACAATCATAGCAATGATTAGATAAATTGGCAGAACAGGGCCAGAAGTTAGTCAAGACAGAGGGCAATGGTATTCAAAAACAAAGTTAAGTGATAAATAGATCTGTCATTTATGTGGGTCATAAAATTTAAGTAACCCTTTCAGTTTTCTCTCTTCCAAGAATTTGGTATCGCATTTCTTACTACTTGAACAATTAAGAATGTTCATGTGTTTGCATAGCTATCGAAACTTTGCTTAGTAGTTATGAAAACACTGTATATCTATGTTGTACCCTTGTTAAAACTATGAGAAAATGTATGGAAATACACATAAATTAAAACTGTAGTGGCATTTTCTTTGTTATAATCATGAACTCATTATATCCATGTTCAGTATAACCAAGTTTGACTTTACTTACTTTTGCACTACCATGTACTTCAACAAAGTATGTTACTTATATTAATAAACAAACACACCTAATTTGTATTTGCCGAGTTATTTTCTTTCAGGTGTGTTTGTTTATTAATATAAATAGCTAATATTGCTGAGAAGATAGATAAAAAGTATGTTACTTTATTCTAATATACTATACAGAAATTATGAAGTGATATGAGAATAAATATACACATTACTAACACACGTTTTATTTTTGTATATATTAATATTTTTTATTATCTAAGGAATTAACAATATTTTATTTATGAATGATCTAATGTAAATACTGTTTACGATAACGATAGTGATAATTGATAACGAATAAAGCGTATACTTACTTTGCATCACCTCATAATTCATTAAAAAATGCTGTTATTTCATTATAAATATCCTTTCATTATGAATTATTACTCATCAAAATACATATTCATACTTTGTTTTCAAACAGGAAAATAATAAATCAAGTTAATAAAACAGTATAGCAGTGGTTAGATAAACAATGATGATTTCAATTATAATGTTAATGAAGCATATGTAATAAAACTGTAATAAAAATTTATATACTGTATGATAAATAAGGTAATTGTTAATTTACGTCAACAGAAATCAGTAAATAATAATTATTATTATTTTCAGAAAACTTTGATGATTTATTTGATTTTTTTCACAGAACTGCACAATTACAGGCTCATATATTTATAATTTTACAATTAAAGTATCTTCCATCAAATCATTAACCCCAATTAACCAAGATTCTGCATTATCCAAGGCAAACCTGTGAGTACACTGCTTTCCTTATATTGTAATTCATAAAATAAAGTTTAAATGATAATATGTATTACAAAATAATTTGTTTCTGTTAGCTTAAATCATTTAATTTCAATGTGAGACAAATCATTCATATTAAAACTACTATAATAATATATATTTTTATTCTTAAAATAATCATAAGCAGCAGCAGTATAATAAATGATGTTAAAATTGTTCTTATATATGATCAAATTCACTAAGGTATAAACAGAGGCTTGAAAGTGCTACCATATAAATCTTTTATATT